GGTGTGGGTGGGTGGGGCACTGGTGGGCGGGGGGGGGAGCTCAGGGCTGGGTGGGGGGCAGCCAAAAATGTTTTTGCTCGGGGTGGCAAAAAACCTAGAGCTGGCCCTGGCTGCTGCCCAGCCGGAAGATTGAGAATGCAGGTGGTTTGGAGCAGAGGCTCTGAGTTCAGACAAACTTGACCTCCTCGGTCCTGGAGTCCAGGTGACTAATGAGGGCGTGGTCTGAACAGGCTGTGCGGTGTCACTGCCAATCCCTGCTGGCTGCATCGCTGCCAAAGGGGTCGAGTCTCTCACAGGGGTCTACACTCAGATGGACTCACTGGGGAGCCCCGGTGAGAAGCGGGGGAGCTAGAGCCTGAAGTCTCAGAGTCGTGGGGCTCGCCCTTGCAAATAGAGGAGGCCTGGGGCCTAGCACAACCCTAGGGGCATCCCGAGCATGATGGGCACCCTGGGACACCAGGATAGAGGGGGGACTAGTTCAAGCTGGGAGGACCTGAACACGAGCAGCCGGTGGCAGCAGTAGTGAGGGGGTGGTGGTCATGACGGGGAGCAGAGACAGAGCTCTGGGGGTACAGGACAGGCAGCTGGAAATCGGGACCAAGGAATGTGCCTACTGCTGTTTGCTCCTGCTGCTCCCATGGGAAGAAGGCTGGGGGCGTTCTCAGCCCACAAACAGAACCACCTGGCTCTCCCTGGAGGAGGAGACCCTGGCAAGGTCTCACTTCACTGGGGCTGAAGGGGGACAGGTACATTCCAGGGCCTGACAGGTCCACGCTCAGCCCAGCTCCTGCATGTAACAATGGGAACTGCCACTTGTGGAGCCCACCCGGCCCAGACTGGTGCTAAGTTCCAAGCAGCCAGACCCTGCCCCTCCCTGTGGCTGCCGGCCCGTGCTGGCACCATTTGGCTGCAGCATGGATCAGCAGGTGCTGATGCACGAGGCTGAGCTCAGTGCGACTCCACGCAGCTGCAAAGGGAACCCGGTTCCTTGGGACCTGAGGCTGTTTGCTCTGGAGCCTCAGGTACAAGCCTCCCCCGTCCCTGCTCGGGGGCTTGTGGGGCCAGGGCTGAGGGAAAAGCTGACTATCTCCACGGGTAAAGAGCTGGGCGTGGTTCCAGCTGAGGAGCAGCCTGGGGTTCTTCCACGGCCTTTGCTCCAGTTTAAGAAGCCCTCACCCAGGCCAGGGCCCAGCACTGCAGTTCCATAATGTCCAGCCCTCAGCCTGACTCCAAGGGGGAGGCAAAGCAGGGACCCCACACCCCCCAAACCCATTCCCCACTTGGGATGCCAGGGACAGCAGACAGCAAGAATGCAAAGCAGTCATTGGAGAAGAGCTGCTCCCCTATACACACATATAACATGAGTCTGCCCAGCTGGCCGTGGGCCCAGGTGCTGCACCAGCCCCGTAGGGTGGTGGGAGGGAAGCCCCCCTGCTTAAGCAGGATCCACACTTCTGGTGAGTTGCTGGTTTTAACAATAACATTCCCCCACACCCACAGAAGGGCAAGAGGCCCGGGCCCCAGCTCAGCTGTGAAGAGGCGGAGACACCAGTGGGGGTGGCGATGGAGATGCGTGCCAGGGCAGAGCCGGGCAACGGGGGCAGAAAACGCTGGCAGCAGCAGTGCCTCCCCCCAGTCTGTGAGTAGCGTCTCCATCGGCGGCAGGTACTTGCCTGGCAGGTTGTTGATGTAGCCACCGTCCATCACTAAGTTGCCATCCTTGGGGTCACAGAGTGGCGGCAGGTACCCGGAAAGGGTCATGCTCGCTCGCACATACCGCCACAGAGAGACTAACCAGCAGGAACAAACGCAGTCAGGAGACGGCCTCTTGCAGGCCCTGAGCCCCGGGGGAGGGAGGGCGCCCCTGGCACCCAGGCTGGGGAATCTGCACAGCGCGGCGATAGGCATGGCCCTTGGAGCCAGCAAGGGACAAGCCAACTGCCTAGAGCTCAGCCAGGGGGTTGGGGCCCATCCCTGCCCCTTGCTCTGGAACAGGTGGTGCCTTGGATTGACTCCCAAAAGCCTCAGGAGAGACCGAGCACCTGGCCTGGTGGCCGAGGCTCCCAGCACCGGCCCCCACGAGGTGCAGATTTCTCAGCTCGAGCAGCACATGTCTGGACAGGGTGCTGGGATCCAGCTGTGCCCTCAGGCCTGTCAGAACCAGCCCTCGCCAGGGAAGGACGAGCTATAGCATTGAAGGAGGCAGTGGCTGCAGCCCAACTTGGGGCAGCCATGGCAGAGTATGGAGGGCAGGGTTGCAGCCAGTTGCCACCCCGGCCCAGCCTGGCCCTCCCTTCCAAGCCACGCAGGTCATCCCCGTGGCCCAGGGCCCGAGGAGCGCATGATGCTGACCTGGGACATTGTTAACATAGCAGCCGTCCACAAGCAGGTGGCTGTTGGGGTCACAGAGAGGAGGCAGGTAGGGGGGATAAGATGCACTGGCTCTGACGTAGCGCCACACACTGCCTGCTGGAGGGAGAGGAGACAGTCACAGGGGACGGGGACAGCACAGACGGAGAGAAGACAGGAAACGACATGAAAGAAGCTTCAGAAATCCAGATGCCCGCTTTGGAGCAGGGGTACTGGGAGGTCTCCCCAGCCTCGCGGGGAGAGGGCACACCAGCTCAGACACGGGGTGGTCTGTGCTAGGAGTCAGGCTGGGTGTGGGAACAGGTGTCCCTTGCCACCCCCAGCCTAATAGAGGGACAGGTCCTTGTGACATACCCAGAAATCCGCCCCTGCACCAGCAAAGGAGGGACCAATTCCCTGAACACCCATCCCCCTCAGCCCACTCCAGCTAGTGGTGGCTACATTGACAACTGGGCTGGGCTATTCTACCTACCCCAACGCCCTGCTGGCTCTTCCTGCCATGGGGCAGTGCCAGGCCCTGGCCCAACAAGATGCTGCTGTGTGCTTGCTGGCAGAAGGCTGCCCGGCAACAGGCACACAGGCATGTTGTGACCAGCACTCAAGGGGCTGCTGGACCCCTGGGGCCAGGCCAGCTAGGGAATGAGGCTGTGCAGACTATGAATTCAGTTGGCTGTCAGGAGCTCTTTGCACGACTTTGCCTCAGCCTGCAGCCTCCACCTTAGTCAGAGCTTTTCACTGCCTGTTGGGCTGACATTCCAGCAGGGCAGTGGTGCAGGGCTGACCACAGAGGGTCGTTAACTGGGATGGATAACACCCAGCCAAGACACTGGCTCCCCCACCCCCTATGCCCCAGGAAATGGTTTGCTTGGCAACACCACGAGGGAGGATTCTGGTCACCTGCGGAGGCTGACCAGGGAGGTTCCAGTAAAGCTGCTTCCAGCCCCTGCCAGGCAACTCCCTGGTCGGCCTCCGCAGGTCTTTGGCCCTTTTTCAACAGCTCAAGGTAAGGGAAGCTGCTGCGGGAG